CGCAGTTGGGGGGAAAAGGTCACCATTCTGTCCAGCCACAGCAGGAAATGCAGGCTGCAAGCACTATTTGAAAAGAGAGGATGTCACAATGGAAGTAGCAGCCCTCAATCCTGCAAAGGAAAACAGAGATGGCAGCAGCATTGCAAGTTGCTATTCCTTGATTCTCTGTCCTCACCACTGCCCTCAGGAGTCTGGGGTTCATTTTCTCAAGGTGCAGGGGCCAATGTTTGCTGCTTCCTCCTTTCTACGTGACACTCTCATGGCCTCTAAGCATGCCCATTTCCTTCTTGAATTTCCCAGAGTTGTCAGTATTAAAGTACCACAGGAAAAAGCAACACGCATAAAAGGGTGCAGGTAAGAAGACAGTGCCAGTGCCAGAGGAGGGTGAGAGAAGAAGGGGAGCTATGTGGCATTGGGCGTAGTTCACTGTGTAGACATTTGAAATACAACAGAATAAATAAATATTTGTGTGTGAAACATCAACGTGATTTCTAATGGTGCAAAGTGCAATATAAAAACATTGGTGTCAACCTAGGACAGCCTCTTATATGGTTGCATTCATAGTGAGTTGCTTTGCTCATCATCTATATCAGTGCTGCTGCTGATAGAGGTGAGAAATCTCAGTGCACAGTGGGTTAAATTTATTTGTTGGATTCTGCTTCACTAGGAGATTAGGTGTAGGTGTGACATGGACATGCAAAATTTCCCACAGGCATACCTATCTCCATGACAACAGTACAGAAAAGCTCAGACTCTTCTTCCAACGAAGTCATAGCTATTTGTTCATTCTTAGAAAACAAAGCCTGGTGGGAGTATTAATTTTTCATTATACTGAAAGAGTTTCCCCCCCCCACCACTGGAAAATGAAATTTACTGAGAGATTATTATAATAGACCCAACAAAGCCCTAACATTGTATATTGAGATTTGCTTCAAGATCTTCACCATAATGGAATCCCAGTGGAGGATCAGAGCCTGAACATACACATGTTGGATAAGGATTTGCAGATAATAATTCTTCATTTAAAAATAGATACTGTAAAGCCCTGAGAAATGCCATTGTGTTGAGCGACACAGCTAACTGCAAAAGTTGCCGGTACCTGTAAAATCTAATCCTGACTTCAAAATATTGGAACTATCCAAATTTTAATTTATTTATTCATTTATTTTGAAGAGTACTTTCAGGAGCACTTGGCTCCTGGAAGTAATCAATTACAAAATGATTTGTAATCAATTACAAAATGATTTATCTATAAATGGAAAAAACTAGCTGGCTAATGCCCAAGTATACCCATGTGAATATGCTATGCCATGCCATGCTTCAGGGTTCTATTTAAGCTCTCAAGCTGTTTATTATCTATTTGAAGTCAATGACGGGATTCATTCGGGAGGTAAATATCACCGGTATACTGATGACAGCGAGCTCTACTTTTCCTTGTAGTCAGAGTCAGCTGAAGTTACACAGGAGCTGGACCACTGTCTTGATGTTGTAATTGGCTGGATTACAGTCAGTAAAGCAAAGCTGAATCCTGAAAAGAGGTACGCTCTGTGGTTGAATGGTTCTCGTGTCAGAGACTTACTATGTGACTTGTTCTTAATGGGTTTGCACTCTCCCTGAAAGAACATGCGCATAGTTTGGGAGTAGTGCTAAATTTATGGTTGTTACTGGAGCCCTAGTTGAATGCTGTGGATTGCAGTGGTTAGAGGCCAGCTTTGGTTGTCTCAACAGCTATGACCATTCCTCAACAAGACCACCTGGCCACAATAGATTATGCTGTTAGACAACTGCAATGCACTTCACATGGGGCTGCAAATGCTTAGAAGTGCAATATGCTACAGCTAGATTGATAACAAGAGCATCTCTCCAAACCTCATGCTAGTTCTGAATTCCACTGATTGCCAATATACCTCTTGCCTGAATTAAAGGTATTGATGACAATCTCTACAGCCAAAATCAGCCTGGCAACTGGATATTTGAAGGTGTGTGCTCTCTGGTTTGGCAGTTGCGCATGTGGAAATGACAAGGGGTCTTAGTAGACCATAAGCTAAACAACACTTAATAGTGTGATGGCAGTAACAAAATCAAATACAATACTAGGCTGAAATCTAGCATCCAGATAATGTTGTTGTTGTATGCTGTCAAATCATATCCAACTCATGGTGACCCTATGGATAACCTCCACAATGTCCAGCCCTTAACAGACCTGCTCAACTCTTGCAAAGGCGTTGGATTTTTTACTCAGTCCATTTCATATCTGTCTTTTCCTGCTATCTTTAATTTTTCCCGGCATTATTACTTTATCCAGTGAGTACTTTCTTCTCACGATGTGCTCAAAGTATAACAGCCTCAGTTTAATCAATTTTGCTTCTAAAAAGAGTAGATTTTATTAGACCTAGGGCTCACTTGTATGTGTTTCTGGCAATCCATGGCATTTATAAAGTTCTCCTCTGGCACCTTATTTTAAAGTTAATTTTATTCCTGTCAGTTTTCCTCATTATCCAGCTTTCATATTTGTACATAGCAACTGGGAATACAACAGTGTAGATTCCCTTTGTCTTGATCTCCAGTGGAACACCCTTACATTTAAAAAAGGAGGGCAGGTGATACCTTTATTAGACCACCAAAAAAATTGCAAGGTTGTAGCAGTCTTCATCAGGCTGTGTACCAATATATTGTGGATAGTAAAGAAAAAAACATATGGAAGAAGCAAAACTCATAGCAGATGTATTTCTTAAAAATGCCCTCCAAAATACAGGCTGCAAGAGTGTCGGTTTCAAATTCCCCCCTTGGTGGCCATTGGCACATACATCTGCCATGACTTTGGAGAATTTCATGTTTTTTTCTTGCATTGCGCACAATATATTGGAGCACATCCTTATGAAGACTGTTATAAGTCAAAAGCTAGCATTTAAAATTTTCTTTTAATCATCTAAGAGAGATATCGCCTACCCTTGCTTTTGTATTGTGTAAGAACCACAATGTAAAGTTACTTTGAAAACACTACTGGGGTTGCTATACAGGTACCTCGGTTCCAACTGGACGGTACACAACAACAAGGACCACACAGCTTTATTTGTTTACACTTAATAATCTTTTCTGGTTCCTTCATTGCTGCTCTTCTGAGTTTCAGCCTTCTGATTGCATGTCTGCAGTCTTCATTTGCATTGATAACTGGATCAATTATCAATTACAAAATATTTATTTCAGTTTCATCATTGTCAACACTGATGTTATATAGTTTCTTGTTTTACTTTTCTTCTTAGGCTCTGACTACATTGGTAATGGAATCGCAGCAATATGGCTTTGCTGCAGCTTGATTCACAGCCCATTTTATGCTTCCGTTTGGATTAGATGATCACACGAAGATTGCAAAATTTTTGTTGTCAGTGTCCACACTGAACCATCAATCTGATGTGATTTGATCTTTGCCACAACCCACTGCCCCCTTTCTTTGATCCTGCCCTCTGCTGATCACTGGATCTCTTTTTATGGTAGGCTGTTTAACGTTTTGCACAACACTAGGAGAAATATACAGTTTTCCAAAGTTCTCCTCAGAACACATACATACATGCTGAGGAAATATAGTAGTCTGCTGTAGTTCATTAGAATTGTTTCCACTTCATACCGATTTCATATTCCCTTTTATTCATGCAGAGATTACCTTGTGCTAAACTAGTGTATTAATATAGTGATAAGGTGATCTAGCACTAAACTTGGTAGTTTTGTGTGGGAGCACCCTTTTCAAGGTTGCCAGCTGCACTCCTGTTGTAGTGAGAGCACACTCTCCTAGCATTATGCAGCGGCTCCTGAGGGGGCGGGGCCGACTGCTCATTCTTCCTCTTTTCCCTTAGAGTCAGAGCGTAACACTCCGGCCAATCCTAGTAACCTATCTAAATTCTCACAACAATCTGTAAGCTTGTTAATAAAAGGGAGTTCTCGGGGCATCACCCTAGGAACTCCGCTGGCGGGCATCTACATGTCAACTGACTTTTTTGTTCTCTCTCTAAAGTTAATTGCTTTCCTAATTGCCTGTGATCACCCACTCTCTTTGTTCTGTGATCACCTAAACCAGTGGTGGCAAACATTTTTGGGCTTGTGTGCCCTAAATGGGGGGGTACAGTGGGTGGCGTGCCACTGCCGCTATTGCAGAGGTGATGGACCCGGACCCAGGCCCAGAAGACCGGAACTGGAAGTGGTGGTTTAAGGGGAAATCATGTCGACGGACCAGAGGACCCAGAACTGGAAGTGGCTATTTAAGGGGGAATCATGTTGATGGACCTGGAGGACCCAGAACCGAAAGTGGCAGTTGAAGGGGGAATCGTGCCAACTGACCCGTAGGACCTAGAAGTGGTGGTGGAAGGGGGAATCCCAGCTGCAGCCGCCTCATGAGGTTTGGCTGTGCAGGGGGGGGCGGGGGGGAGTAGTGACCTATGGCTCGTGTGCCAGAAGAAAGGGCTCCGCATGCCAGCTGTGGCACACATGCCATAGGTTCACCATCACTGACCTAAACTATTAGCCTTTTCATTTCGTGATCACTCCAGTTTTGTTTTAAAAATACTTCTGCACCTAGGGAGAAAGATTGTGAGAGTTGGTATTTTTGCTGCCAAAAACAATGTGCCCAGCTTAATACATCATCCACAGTAATGCCCCCTGTCCCTTTGGAAAATGAACCAACAGATTACATGGGGGGATATCTATTTCAATCATTCTGGATTGTATAAAAAGCAGAAGCTCCCAGAGAAAGGGGGGAAAATTAGTAATAAAAAGGAACATACTAATTCAAATCGGCCTTTGTCATGTGATCAGTAAAAAAAGAAAGTAAAAAGAGAAAACAGCAAATTCATACATTTTACACCCACCACAAATACCACAGTATCTGACCATGTAATTGCAGCCATAGTCATATCAGAAAATATGACATTTTAAATATTATCTTTCAACATTTAGCCAGTATTTAACTTTATAATTTCCCTACGGAGTGAGAGGAACAAATTCATTACCCTATCAGCTGATCCTTGTTCTGTTCGACTAGAGTGGGAGGAACATTTGAGACAATGACTTGCATATCCAACTGATTGACCACAGAGACCTAGAAACACAGAAAGAAAATGTAGTTGAGCCTTCAAACATACATTATCTCAGAATAAGAACAAGGATGTCATATTCTGTGACATTCATCATCAAATTTAACTCTCATTGATGTGGAGGAGAGATGGTGTTTTAGGTTATGGTTAAAGGAATATGTAGTGCAGCAATAGAGTTCTTCCAGTAAAATTGATGGGATTTTAAAACACTTTAGATTTGGCTAGATCACATTCTTTATTTTCAGTAGTCTACCAATATGTAAAGAAGCTACCATTTCATAATTAATACATAGCATGTCTTTTTTTGAATTTATATCATTTTCAGATTTTTTTGCTTTATATCCATTTTTTGTATGACAATGCTCACTTATATGAAAATTAATCCTTCTGATTAAACCTAACTGAGTATAGAGTTTGAGACACAAAACTAACCATCAAGACTATTGTCAGCTTTTGAGGAAAAAAGAAGCCCTTGGTTTCCCCTCATGTTCTATTTCTCAAAACAGCAAGGCAAACCATCTGAAAAATCCTCTTTTATTGTTGCACACATTAGAGAAAGCAAGCATGCCAAGAGTTTTGTCTATACATTTACTGAAAGTAAAATCAAGCTATAGATTTCCTTCTTCTCAAAGGCAATATAGCATAATTTGTAAAGATCAGTTGAAGGAAGGAAATACAGTAAGCTTGAATAAAATGTACATGAGTGATAACAAGTACTGTAGAAGAAATTCTTGATTTCCTCTGTCACGCAGAGCTTTGCTTTTTTTGGCTGGCCAGGAAGGGAAGGAGAAGCAATCAAGTTGCTGAGTGGAGAGAGAAACTGAGTGACTGATGTTCTCTGAAGTTCACAGAATTAGTCCAGTAAGTTGAAGTGAAATGTGTTTGCAACATAGCATACAAATTACACATGACCTCCAGCAGCGCTAACAAGCAGTGACTTATTTATAATCGACATCAAGCACCTACCATGAACAGATAAAATTAAAAATGGTCACTCACAATACCAGAGGTTCTAACTTTCATCAAATATAACAACATAGCATTATATTTTTTAAAAAAATTAAAATATGAATGCCACCAAACATGTCAGCAGAGATGCGTACCATAGAGGTAAATGTCTCATAACTGGCTGTGTACATGTGGTGGCAAACCTGTGCTGTCCTCTGTAATGACTCAAATGACAGTAAATCAAATTGTTTTCAGTGGAACTTTCCTCTCTGAAAGAGTGATTGAATAGCAGGGGAAGAAGCTTTAATGTTTGTCAATACAAATATTGCTTAGTGTTCTCCTAGGCTAGGAAAAGTCTCTCTCTCTCTCTCTCTCTCTCTCTCTCTCTCTCTCTCTCACACACACACACACACACACACACACACACACACACACACTAACACTTGGAAGAGTGGCACAAAAAGCATGGAGCACTATAGTAAATGAAAATATTCAAGTAATACAATCAGTTTGAGGCCCAGTGTAATGTAATGCTGGAAGTGTTGGAAATGAAGTACTGAGATTAAATGTAACCTAGCCATTGCTGGGATGCGGTGGTGCTGTGGGTTAAACTGCAGAAGCCTCTGTGCTGCAAGGTCAGAAGACCAGCAGTCGTAAGATCGAATCCACACGACGGAGTGAGCTCCCGTCGCTTATCCCAGCTCCTGCCAACCTAGCAGTTCGAAAGCATGTAAAAATGCGAGTAGATAAATAGGTACCACCATGGCGGGAAGGTAACGGTGTTCCGTGTCTAGTCACACTGGCCACGTGACCACAGAAACTGTCTATGGACAAATGCTGGCTCTATGGCTTGGAGACGGGGATGAGCACTGCCCCTTAGTGTCGGACACAACTGGACTAAATGTCAAGGGGAACCTTTACCTTTACCATTAGCCACTGCTGGATAACTTGGGTGGTTACTATCTCCTTGTGTTTCTCTCTTATGATTCTGTGTATGCAATTGGACTCTGCAAGTTTTCCTACCTACTGTCCTTGGTGACTAAGGCTGAGCACTTAGGGGCTCACATTATGATTCTGTGGGCCACTCCCCCATTTCCTATTTCGGCTTCCCAACACTAGCAGAGGCAATCCAGGATTTCAAAATGGATTCTTTCCCCCCAACCTCTGGATGCCAAACTATGAATCTGGGATATTTTCCATTCAAAACATCTGCTCTGAGCCACTGAGTTGTGGCTCTCCCCCTAGAAAATCTGCTGCCTACCCATATACAAATAGAATGAAACTTCTTTGCAACTAGGATAACAAAGAAGAAATGTATGGTTCCTTAAACACCACACATGTAATACAAGGGTGAAAGGCAAAAGAGTTATATGATCCGAAGAGAAACCAGAGTATATTTCTCTTCAGATCGCATAAATCTTTTGCTTTTTACATGTAGTATAAGGGTGAAAAAAACCAGAATAAATAATAAATAAATGTGTTGGATGGTTACATACAGAGCCATGTGCAAAGAATCAGAATGTTACTGAATTGGGAAGTAAATGCCAAGGTCAATTTAATAAAAGGAATGTTAAACCACTGAACTGCTGCGTGTATTGTTCATTCTCAGTACTCAAGATCTTAAAAATTAAAGGCCTATAATTTCATTTTCCCCCATTGACTGCATTATTCACAGCCCCATATAATTCAGGAATTGTATGTAAAATGTTATTCTGACAACAACAGAGCAAACAAAAACACCTCGTCCATTAGCTAAGTCTCTCTCCTTTGAGAAAAAGACACAAAGAAGCCATGTTATTGACTCAGTAAATAAAAGCAGGACTGCATCTATTTCACCAAAAAAGAACTCCTAGGGCTTTATCTCAGCCTACTTATACCTTCCTTTCCTCATATATGCCATGTATGTAACCAAAGGGAAGAAGAAGAGATGAAGCAAACAAGGAACTCCAGCCTTGTACTCAGTCGCTCAGATTGCGAAAAAGTGGTCTTTTAAATGTGAAGTATGTATGGATCCAGTTTGTCAGTGAGTGGGATGACGATGAGCAAAAATGGCAGAGTTGAGATGACTGCAAGGAGGGTAAATATAGTTATTATAAAGTAATGTCCCTCATATCTTATACGGGGCTCAGACCCATACAAAGAGAAGCGACTTGGCATGCACTTCCTCCAAACTCAGGGGTGAAGTTTGGTCAAACACACTGTAGAGCAACTGTGTAAATAACATTTCCGTGCTGACCTATCTCAAAAGACAAAGGGCATTCTCAGTGCAGCTTTTTACAAAGCTAAACACTGTCTTTAGTAATTTTCAAGGAAATGCAAAGGGAACTTCCTAAAGTAGATAGATGCTGGTCAAGTTATTAACTCCTTACAACCTGATAAACTGACCTTAAAGGCCTATCTGTACAGTCTACTATTGAGATATGGTCTAATGTCTGGACACTGTAATAAGCTGGATGAAAGTTAGTTAATTGAAGATGAATCAAAACAAGATGAAGGCTATGTGGTTCAATGGTTTCCATATTCAAGAGTTGGACATATTTATTTATTTATTTATTTATTTATTTATTTATTCATTCATTCATTCATTCATTCATTCATTCATTCATTCATTCATTCATTCATTCATTCATTCATTTCCATATGACCTGTTTTGGATGGGGTTGGACTCTATATCAGCATTTAACTTGAGGATATACCTGGATCCATCTCTGTTACTAAGGGGTCAAGTGGACTGGGTGGTTCAGAGTGCTGACAATGACATTTTAACTCCTAAATGGTTTCGGCCTAGATATATGAGGGAATGCCCCACCCCATGGATACCTGCATTGTCATTAACATTTTGGAGGTGGTGGTGTCCTCAGCATGCCACCACTGAGAGCAATATTTTATGTAAAGGAACAGAAGAGGGCTTTCTCAGGTGTAACATGGACTGTGGGTTCCCCCCCACACACACAATTTGGAGGCTCTATGGGTGCTAACTTTGCCTTTATTTTGCACCAAGTTAAAAACTTGGCTGTTTACCTGACCGTTTTGGTCATTAGATAAATCTAATGACTAGGTTCTAGTCCTTCAGTTTTCTGTTTTTTGTCTTAATTGTTTTAATTGTTATACTGTTTAAAGTTTTTAAAAATAGTTTTGCTTTAAATTATTTATAGTGCCTTATTTTCTTTTAAGGTCATTTTATTGCTTGGGATCTGTCAATAAAGGGCAGGTTAGAAATATTTTAGAATGAACTTCCAGCTTGACACTGTGATGACACAGCAGCAGGCGGATGAAGCTCCATCCCCTGGGCTGAATTCCAACCTGTTTGAGACCCCCCCCAGGAGGTTAAAACCATCCCGAAGAGGTGGTGAAATGGGGAAGATGCCTTTTGATCACGGGGGCGATGGTGGTTACCTCTATTCGGTCTGGGAAAATCCCCAGATGGAAACAAGCAGCTGAAAAGCTTGCTTGCAAGTTGTCCGCAGCCGGCAATTGAAAACCAATAAACCATCTAATTAACATTGTTATCACTGGGTGGGAAATATTTATAACTATTCTATTTTATGATCATCCCTGGATGAGACAATCCTTATAACAAAAAAGTGTATCTTAGCCTCACCACTTAAAGAGCGGCGGAGAATCTGGAGAGGGGAAGAAACACAAAGAGAAGTAATGAAATTAAATTGGACTCTAATTAAACATTTAAATATACACTTCAAGGAAGGAAGTTTGGTATTATTCTGACATTAGAAACTTAAGAAAACTTTCTCCTAAAATTATTAAACAATTCTGGGGTTAAACTGGTTATGATATGGCTACAGTTATTTACAGCTATCTACAGCGTTGCAAAAAGCCCAGAATATTGACCTTGAAGACTTTATGGAGATTCTGACTTTTTTTCTCTGAGGACTGACTGAAATATAGACAAATTGACCCTCGAAAGCCAAACTCTGCAAAAGTGTGTGTGGGGGAATTAAACTGTAACCTGAGCTCTGAACTTGATTGGACCACAAGCTGGGATAGAATTAATACAGGAATGGACTGCTTCTGGGGCTGGATTACAAAAGACATCAGGCTATGAATACAAATTTTGAGTTTGCTATTTGATGAGCAAACGTCCTTCAGTCTACAAGAAGGGGGAACCCTACACATCTGAGACTGGATTCAAGTTAACCCCAAAGATGATCAATCTATTAAATTGGACCTATGGAAGCAAATATTGATGAATTTGGACTGATTACTACTAAGCAACTGGACAACCTTCACTTGGAATACAATCATTTTGATATCTGGGACATAATGCTACACCAAGAAAATTTTGGGGATCAAACAAAATCTACTTTTCAAACAATTTTAGAAAAAGTGATATCCCACAACAAAGAGGCAAAATTATTCAATGAGCAGTTAAAGAAAAACTATAGTCAACAGGAGATAGGGAATAACAAACAAGGAAACGAGAGGGTGGTGGATGATGTATGCCAATCAAAGGAGGGTCTGGAGGGAATCAGAGGAGAAAATTTAGGAGATCTAATTCTAAACCTGGAGCCAAGGAGAATCTTAGGTGTGCTGAGGGAAGACAAGGGGAGAGAACCAGCAGATTTAATTTAAAATAGCCTGGAAGATCTATTGGAGATAGATCAAGAGCAAAAAATGGCTACAGATGGCACAATTAGAGAGATAGGAATAAGAAATGGGAAAAGACAAAGAAGAGAAGGAGCTACTTAGAAAGATGCAAAGGAAAAAAAATTAACATCGCCTTCAACATTGAAAACATGTATACACCTAACTTCGGGAATTGTAAAGGGTCATATCTTATATATTAGAAAAGGGAATCAAATTGAAATAAGGGATCAATAATCAGGGTTAAGGCATAACAAGGTGGTTCTTAAGCTAAATTGAAGCTAGACATAACAGGTAAAACAAATAGTAATTAACTAACAATATTAGATATGATATTGATATAGACATGACAGAAAAAGTGGAGATAGAAATAGCTAAAGAATTATATAAAGAAAATCTATATGAAATGCTTTAGATAACACTTATTATGTGTTAGAAACCTATTTAGCTATTATTGGTATAAAATACAAAGTTGGTTGGTTAAATTGCCTCAAAATTATATAGATTTGAAACCAGAATTGTTTGCTATGAGTATTTTTATTAGAGGATTTTGAGAACTTGTATACTATGAGAGCAATATTATGATAGTAACCAATATTGTACACTAAAATACATACATGATTGGTTCAATGTTTAAAAAAAATAAAGATTTTGAAGAGACAACCAAGAAGGCACCAGGATGCAAAAACAAATAATTATAAGCAACCCATATGACATGATCGTTAACAGGCACGAACTGAATGCAGATAGACTGAAAAACTAATAAAATGTTATTTAAAAAAAGATTTTAGAATAAAGGTGTGTATTACGTATGTATGTGGTATGACCTTCTAAAAAATGAAAAATAAAAATAAAAGGCCACTGTGTTGAGAAGCACTATAGCTTCCTATTGTTGCAGCCCAAGCAGACATCAGAGATTTAATGAGCCCCTGGTGGGTGACTGTACATAGTTAGGGAACTGTAGTTATTTTAATAAGCTGCTGCTGCTTATAATAGGCAAATATGTCAGAAGCCCCTCCTACCACAGTCTTAAAACAGAGGAAGTTACAAGGATGGTAAATGTGACTAACACTGAGGAAGACATTTAAAATAAATTTGATTCCCATCTTGCAATAAGAATATGCCTCCCTAAAGCATTGAAACATACTTACAAGTACATCTGATTTGTTGCTCAGTCCTTTTCCATAGTTGTCAGTGGCAATGACCTGAAACTTGAAATAAGATCGCCGCATGTTTTTGAACAACATTGCCGTTTTGATAAGCCCTGTGTATGGTTCAATCACGAAGCCTTCTTTGCCATCCTTGATTGGAGGAATGATGAGTCTATACTGCATAGCACTGTAGTTGCCCATATCTTTATCCTTAGCCTGACAGATGAAAATGACAAGAGAAAACATGGAAACTGCTAAGATGAATGAGCATATTAAGGAACATTCACTTTGATTTTTTTAAGCAATTTAGTAGCTAGTATAGTGGGCCATATGCCAGTAAACTCCACTCCATACTGGTTTTGCAACATTCAGAATTAAATTTCAGTGCTAACATGACTTCCAAATGAAAACAGACATTTGCCATGTGGAGAATGGCAAAACTATAGGGGAATACTTGAGAATGCAAGTTATTTCTATATTAGCTGACCTGTTCCACTACTCCAGGACTAATCTGAGTAATAATGCAGTTGCACTTTAGATTTCACACTTTTTCAATGCAGTTCTTGGCTAAAAATGTACCTAAATAGAGATACTGTAGCTCATGATCCTATTGTGGAATACTGCATACATACAGAAAATTCCAGAAGTGGTTTTTTGCAATTTTGCAATATGTCTGTCATGTGCTCAGGTGCATAACCGAGTACATATACTGTAATTCAGCATGGGTTAATCTTGGTATATCCCAGCAGGTAACAGCCAGTCAGAACAACTGCATATGCTGTTATGCAATTTTGGGATTGTGCTACACAAATCCAAAGGTGGCAAAATGAATTTTTAACAAGAAAATATGTTCAGAATGCATATTTTGAGAAGGAATATGCTTAGAAAATGTGCATCTTGTAAGAAAATGGACTTAAAATGTATATTTTAATATGAATTTTTGTACAGATTGTTTAAACACTGCAGGTTAACATAGACACGCAACAGAATAAATATGTTCCAATTTCTCTTGTACTCTATTATCTTTAAAATCATTTAAAAAGCACAGACACACCACGTTCAATTGTTTCAGGACCATCAGAGACAGCCTGTCCTCTGCCCAAGCCCCTGTAATGCTAGAGAAGGATGTTTGTTATCTCTCTAATTTGTCCTTAAGGTAAATATTTTTGTCACTTCATAAAGGGAAGATATGTGATGCTTCAAGAGTTGTGATATGCCTGTCAGAGAAGAGAAAGAACTGTAATTAATCTTAATAGCAGTATATATTTTCTTGTGTTTATGTGGCAGATAAAAATATGTAGATTTTCCCACAACTCTGTTCCAAATGAATGCTGAAAAATATGTATCATCTATGTCAATGTCAAACTCAATCTTGTTATACAGTAATTATGTGTAGATCTGTATCTGTAGGTAGACACTCAGATTCAGGTTAGTTTAATTTCATATTTTAAAATTCAGAATGGTTCAGCCACTCACTGGCAGGAGCACAGTTCCCTCCTTTGGGTGATCCTCCACTCACTGGTAGCATCATGAGCTTCCCTGTCTCACCTCCTTGTCTGATTGGGCGATCACCCAAGGGAGCAGAAGAGGGAAGCTGTGCTGCTGCCAGTGAATGGGTGATCACCCATGGAGGCAGAAGAGGGAAGCCCATTCTTGACGGTGAGTAGGCGCTCACCTAGGGGAGGCAGGGGAGAGAAGAATGTGGCATCTTCAGAATACCTATGTGGGTGGCTGCACCAAACAGGGCTGAACTGCTGTTTGAGCCCATCTGTACTCTTGACCTGAGTTTGGCCCCAATGGGTTCAGATAGCCATCTTAAGGTTGACTCAGCCTTCCATCAGAGGTCGATAAAATGAGTACACAGCTCATTGGGGGGGGGAAGGTTTTTTTGCATAAATATGTTGTAAACCACCCGGAGAATGCTTTAGCACTATGGGGAAGTACATAAGGTGAAATGACGATGGATGAAATTTTCTACAGTATAAACCACACTTCATAGATTTCTGATTTTCATATGAAAGAAGATATTTAATTGCATAGGTCCCGTCAGATGTAAAAGCAAGTAATGTTTTTCTGCTACACCCATGGGCATACATGGCATTTCTCCTTCTTTGAAGATGAGAAGAGGAGACCGGAAGATTTGTTTCTGAGTTTAAACAACCAATAATTCCCCATCATGGCCAATGGTCTTGTGGTTTATTTCAACTCTAGCTATTGGGGACAAACTAGGATCAGTCTGTGATTTCTGATTTTGGAGTTTTGAGAACTACAGTAAATAATTCAATTTATTTGAAGGACCATTTTTCCATGACAATTTGCCTACATGGAAATTTCTATAACTGATTCCCTCCTAAAAATACCACCACCATTAAAAGTGAGGTTACAACACAGGGAGTGTCTGGAAGTTGAATCATGGTAACTGGACTTTCTAATTAGTTTGAAAAGTTTCACTACTCATCCAAGTAGCTTCTTCAGTCTGAGGAGAGTTCGTAGGAGATCCACATTGGTTTCACTTTCCCCTGGTCTGAATAGGCTAATTATATGGACAAAGGACTGGGGGTGAAAATCCCTTCTTTGCAGTCTTTCTCCACTCCTTGTCATCAGTCGTTAGCAGTGGTCTTTCTGGTGTGTGTTGTCCTGATCTTTCTGGGGATGGATGAAAAGGCATCCCTCCCTAGAGGGCAACGTTTGACAATTAAACAGATGATACATATTTTTCACCCTATTCAGACCAGGAGGAAGTGAAACCAGCTTAGAGGATATATAAGAGATCTCCTACCAACTCTCCTCAGACTGAAGAAGCTACTTGGATGGGTAGTGAAATCTTTCAACCTAATAAGAAAGAAGTCAAGTTGCCATGGCTCAACTTCCAGATAGCATCACCTGGATGACTGAGAATCTTCACAGATATAACACAGGGAATGCTTTTGAAGCTATGGAATGCTCTCATCAGAGAGATACACCTGGGAGGTGCCAGACAAAAACGGTTTTATTGGCATAGACTTTTTAGAACATTTTTATTAGTCTAACAGTATAATATTATGCATTTCTACTCAGATGTAAACCCCTCTTACTGTATTTCAATGAGGCCTACTTTTAAAGACGTATATGTTGGATTCCAGTCTTACTGTTTAAAACTTTCTGAATTTGAATTGTAATTTTTTTGTGAGCACTGCTATTCTCTGTTCTTTAATTTTCTTAAACTATCTTGCACTCTCTGATAAGATGGTATATAAATGTTTTGAACAAACTCATAGTGGTTTGTCCAAAATTCAAGAACTACAGCTACTGGAAGATGCAAAGAGAGAGCAAGTCAATGCATGAGATCAAGGCTCACCAGAGATGACACATGTAGTGAGAAAACATGGTTTTCCATTGTGAGAGGCTTGGACTTCGATTCCCCATTGTGTCTCCCTGACAAGGGCTAAACTTGATGATCCACAGATTCCCATCCAGTTCTGCAGTTCTAAGATGATGATGATGTTTCAAACAGGCCAGAAATTTTAAAAAAGGAAGACGTTCTATACGTGGCTGTTTAGGCAATACTCACAGCCAGTAGTCTTCTTGCCACTCATATGTCATAAGATCTAACAAAGTTCCTAAATGAAAACATTTTTTTAAAAAAGCATAACAATGTACCGCAAAAAAGTGGAAATCCTGACAGAGGGGTCCTTTTTTAAGGAGAAAGCAGGATAAAATATTTTAAATAAATAAAAGAAATAAATATAGGCTTTTAAATATTGTCCCCCGCCCCGCTTCCATTGGCAGTTATTTCCTAAAGAAGTGACACCCTTAAGCAAGTGTTCCAAATAATAAAAGTGATCCACCAGAATGGCTTATATAAACAAGTAGTCAGACAGTAGTAACGATGAGATTGTCAAGGCAAAAAAGAACTGGTATTTGACTGTCTCAGAGATGGAATATTTGATATCCTGCACATAGCAATGCATTGTCCCAGGCCACAAACTGTAGTGGAAGTGAGGCTTAATCCTTGTTGCAGTTTGGCACAGAGACCTATAACCTGTGTCTTTATTCTGGGTTGGAGGGGCAGTGTTAAATATGCAGAGTACTGTCTTCCTTTTCATGTGGCTTTCATGAGCAAGGGTGAAATGAATGGCAGGTGGAGAAGGGGTTGAAACCCACTTCCTTAGGCATTATAAAAAACTTGAATGGCAACATGTACATTGACTCAGGTTAAAACTGGCCAAGCCATAATTGCATACAAGCCTCCTCAAGCATATGATAATATGGAACTGTTTCTAGTTTGCTTCAAGTTGTCGGTGCTATACAAGAACAGACTGTGGGAGCTACTTTTCTCATATGGATGGAAACTCTTCCATGAATGCTTAAATGCATGGACCAAACTTCACAGAAGCACATTTGAAGTATAAATTAAGCATAAATCTGTAATTGCTCAATGAGGCTTTAGCAAAAACAACAGCTTCCATGAGCAGCTCATTACCTTCTTTCCCTTTGCAATATATGGAAAAATAGTTTCTTAAAAAATCAGATTCATAAAATGCTACCATAGTTGGACAGAGTAGATGACAGGGATAAGGCTTTAGGAATATGCAGGAAAAAGGAATACAGCCTATCAAAACATTGACTTTTGATACAGCCGTGGAAATAGGGACAATGCAACAATGAAAATAAGGGGCATTTTAGTGATGTTAAGACAAAAAGAATTTATAGAATAGCTAACTATGGAGTCAAATTTACTTGTAACGATGTACAGTATAAGACAAGGCATGAATGCCAAAGCACTGAAAATGCTGGGATAGCAGATGTAGCTGATAAAACTGGAAATATATATCAAACTATCAATTCCTCCAGGGAGAAAAGTGTTCTTGTTTTAAAAGCTATTATATTTCGCCAGAAACTGTAACTGGAAACATCTGAATTCACCATCTGCTTTAGTGGTGCTAATGTTGAATAAAAAACTCCATTCCTTTTATGATCCTCTTCATTATATTCCAACCAAAATTAAGCATGACCCTCTGAGGAAGACTGGAAAGCACAGAAGGACCAGTAGTTGTTTCCTCATTTCCACTCTGAGTAGCTAGTTTGACTCAAAATCGCTTTCTTAAAGGGGAGAAAGTGGTTAGCGACTGATGCCTGTCACTGCCAATAAAGTTATAATTCTTCAGTAGCCTTCAGGTTCTGAGCAACATTTTGCTGAGTTGAAAAAAATTAGGGCATGGGGTCAGTACAGAAGT